AAAGTCGATAGATGGATTTCAAGAATTCTGGTGCATGTCTCTTACATGTTAATACCATTTTACTATGAATAGGAGATTATTGGGAGACAGAGCTTCCAAGTCATGGGGGTCTGTGGATGGCTTTGTTATTGGCCTGCTATTGAGAATAGCTTAAACTTTATATAACACAGCATGTATACTGTCATCATCCAGAGTTTGAATTGAGGTTCTTTCTGATTGAATGGATTCACCTCTCCCAGGCTCCCCATTGATGGGAAACACTTGGTGGATTGAACTTTCATTTCATTCCCTTCGGTGTGAGAGTTCATGGTGGATATGAGCTAGACTCCACTGTTCCAAAGATCTTTTTTAACTCTTGATCAGTACTAACAAGGTTGGTTCTGTTGTCTTTGACTTTGCATCTTCTATATCATTCTATATCTTTTCACTTTAGATCTTCCACATTTCACTTCACCTGCATGACCTTCATCTTGATCCTTATTCTTTGGGTGAATAAGAAGCATGCAAGGGGGTTAGCGCCACTTGTTTTTACCTGACAAGTCTTTTCCTGCAGTCCTCATGTGTGACCATGGTAGTTACCTTTGCTGCTCTCTTTGTGTGGTCATTAGTGTCCTGTATGTTGCCAAATAGAGGGTCTGTTGTCATTTTACTTGCCATTCAATGAAGTTCACAATGTCAAAAAACTTAGCTCTTCTTAAATATCAAAAGCTACTGACCTCCATTTGTCTCTTAGATCGTACTGTATGGCAACTTTTGGATCATCATCAGCATGTTAAGCTCATACATTAGACTCTGTCATTCTTCGAAATCCTCTTAAAAAGATACCATAAACTTTAAGAGTTTTAACAATCTCCACTTTAACCACAGGCCATGAGAATGCTTTGTCTAAATACCCAGAGGAAATATTTTGCTCATTCCCAAAATGTTATTCCAGTAATGCCCATGCCTTCTGATATCCTTTGTCTGATGACATTTGGTAATAGATTCAAACAAGCTCTCGTGGTTCTCTACTTGTGTGCTGAGCCAAAAAGTGCAGACAGAATTCATTGTCTTCTGTTCTTTCTACATTGTGCTCAAAGGCTCTCATAAAGGCATGATAGTGAATTGGATCTTGATCAAACACCTGGGTGTCTTGTTTGTTTTATTTCAGAGATCCAGCATTTTACATCTGCAATAAATCCCTTGCCATGTTTACTGATGCATTCAAACCCCACCTTTTGTTTGTCCTTTTCCACCTCAGGAAATATTTCCATCAGTGACTCATACAGGTACATTGCTTCCTCATGCAAATACATCAATATGTCCAGCTGGACTTTCACCTCAGAAACATTATCATTCTACCCCTTTAGATCCTTTTAAGATGGATTATGTCTTTTATTTTATTCACTCATACTTGATATTCCTTTTGGATATTTTACATATTTAACCATTTTGCACATTAAAGCCTTTTCAATGGGAAAAGTTTTTCTTTTGACAATTATGAACCAGCCTTTGATCCACTCACATTGACACCAACAAAAAAAAAAAAATGCAGCACAAAAATTCAGAGAGCGAGTGACATAATCCACAACAATTCAAAAAGAGTTTTAATTAAGCATAAATCTTCCTCAATGCATTAACAATCCAATATTGTATCCATTTCCACACTCTGGTTTAGGCTTGAGCATCAGCAGAAACAGTTTGAAAAATACACATAAAACTTCTCTTCTTTAACATGAACAAACCAGTGATACACATTTTCCACAGGTTCATTCAGTATTGAGCAATATTGCAGAAGGACATCATCACAGCCACAGCATCTATGCATCCAGTATGCAGTGGTACTTGGCATGAACTGTGTCCAAGCTAATATTCACAGTATGAATAAACCTAGTCCAACATACCACAGGTTGAGCTGTGCTCTGTCTTTTCATTTACATTGTGTCATACGTGCACAATACCATCAAAGAATAAAGAGCTGGATCGTTGACAATATGTGGTGACTATCATCCAAAGATTAGGCACTATGAAGAGAGAGCAAGGCTCTGTTGGAGTTTAGTTCAAGGCCATTTACAGTACCCTTTCTATTAGTAATGTTACTTCCAGCACTGAAGCTTCAGTGCATGCTTCAAAATTGCCAGGTTAAATATGCTTAAGCAGTGGGCCTATAATGTTTATAAATGATTATTGTTTCATCGGTTAAATGAGAATCTTTAATGAGATACCAAAAACACAAAGTTTTTATATAAACAGAATAGAAGCATCATATTTTTAGGATTTGATGCAACAATTGCTTCAGCCAGTAGATGTCACCCAATGGAATTGAATGAAGCTTTGGGTAGTGAACCAGGTGATATTTATTAGACAATCATTTAGCTACAGACACACAACCACAGACTAACTCCACCCACGCACACATCCATACTGCCAGACATGCACATTACGCCTAGTGACAAGTACAAAATACACATCCTTGCTTCTACACTCAACATTACACTTATTTAACATAAAAAATATATGCGTGAGTGAAATATACAACTGTGGGCAAATGAGGTGGACTTCAGTATGCAGCTACTGCTATGTTTATGCTTGACCTATTTAAAAATATGGCCTTCATTAACCATATGCAATAAATATAATTATTATGTAAGAAACTAAACCTGTCTTCATATCGTGAAAAAGAGCAGAGATGCCGCTGAAATGTATATTTTTTCATTCCCCCCATGAAATAATGGTGCAAGGTTTAATTACAAGGCAAATGGACCCACTTTAATTCAAAGTTAAAACCTAAAAATTATTAAAAAATGAAACATACCATCCTTTATTTTGTGAGAAAGTTTGCCCTCAGCATAAAAACAGAATGCAGCAAAAAAAAAAAAAAAAAAAAAAATTGTCTTCACTATATCATATAAGTGATATGTGCCTAACATTTTCTGGGAAAAACAGGGAGGCTCAAAATTCTATGAATCTCTAGGCCTATTAAAAATCACACAGAGTGTAATGAGCATTTGCTTGCCAACATCTACAGGCTCCTATGGTAAATGTCCCTTTTTCTGATGCTTTTCTTGTGACTGATCTCAGCTAAAATTTGCAACAGACTTAGAATAAATTGAGGTAATCCTGCTCCCTACACAGAGTAAATGGGGGTATTCATTTGACTTGGGATAATTTAGGCTTTCTGAAACCGAAAATCTAGGATATGCAGGGATTTCCCCCCAAATTTATTCTAAATATTTACTTCTCCTAGCCTGGAAGTTGGACTAATCAACACCGTGTTGACAGCATATTGTTTATTATTGATTATTTTTATTACTGATGTAGGTGCTTGTAAAACCTTAATAATACCTGCCTGTTATCTGTCAATACAAATGTTTTCCCAAGCACTTTATCTGTGTAGGACAGCTCTTCTGTCAGGATAAAAGTTCACATCTTCATTATGTACATAACGAATGTTTGGGAACAGAATGGGAGCATTGTGCTTGATCCAGAGCGCTATAATATCTTGATATGGCTGGAACCAGTGAAGTCTCCTCACGTACAAAAATGTGTATGATGTAATCATATGAGATTTGATGATGTGCCCAGGTGGAACACTAGAGATGTGTAAAATGCTTTCTTTAAATCGTTATTCGGGGCTGCTGCTGACTCTGGTGAAGTGAAGCCGATGGCCCATCATCACCATGAAATCTCTCTGGTCTGAGTAAGATTATCATTCTGTAAAAGCTGTTGTCATGTTTTCTATTCATTATTACATAAACCTTATAAAGTGTGATTTAAAGTGTTTGTTCTGAGTGATTTCTTCTCTGGATAGAATTGAGTAGAGAAAGCTAAAAGATAAACACAGAGCTTTCCTTTACAGTGTTATGAGTTATGCCATGTGAGTCAGTCTGACTAGAAGGCTGCCCTCATCCTGATTTAAAAACAGTGCCTTGGAGTATTAGCAGACATATCAGTCCTTCCAGTCCAGCCATAGCATCCCTCTCTTCTAACACCAGTTTTGCTGCTAAATCAATAAGAATAATCTCATTAGCCAATCTGTTGCGCCATATGCCATGATCATACTTTTTGGACATTGGGAACAAATGTCCATATTTCATCTTGACATGATTATGTGGAATCAGCTGTGGAATCTCTGCAACATCCCCCGTTTTCTCTTGAGTTTCAGAACTTATAGAGCCAAACTGCATGAGAACCATGCCCTGGGTGTGAGACAGAGACAAAAAACCCCTGGTCAGCTGCAGCTGGATGGAGCTCAAGCTTTCCAACTGGACATGGAAAAAAAAAGGTTTGCAGGTCTGGCATGATTCGGGAAAGAACAAACATGTGTTTACTGCTGAGTAAAGACAACGCTAATTGACACTAAATAAGGGACTGTATGCTACGCTATGCTACAGGAATATGTGTTGAGCTGTTGCTGAAGCTTGGACAAGCTTTATTCCACTAAGAGTTAAAACACTGGTATAACATTAGCGTTCATGTGTTCTTTATATTCTCATTACATTTCCATTACCAAGTATGACCAAGACTCATTTAGTAGAATCCTGATGTCTATTCGCTGCTAGCTATTTCAAAGAGGGTAAAGAATCATTTAACTAAAGGTTTTTGGTTCTTGATTAAGCAAATCATTTAATAAAACATTATTCGGCCAAATAATGTTTTATTCACCTCATGGATTTGTATTGTGAATTGCTCTGAAAACCTTCGAATTTCTTTCAAATTAGTGAAAAGCTAATTTGATCATTTGATCATAATCCCAAATTCTTCCAGATAAACTTTGGTTTCAAACACAAAAATCCATTTTAAACTGTAATACGGTTTTCAACCATGTTCCCCTTTCTCTTTGTACTTAGTAGTTTAGTTTAGTTGAGTTTTACTAGTCTTAGTTGAGAGTGTTAAACTGAAATATGTTTGACTTGGGGCTGAATGATTTTTGTTAATAAACTCATATTTTGAACAGAAGTTGTGGTGAATTTATTCCATGTATGTGCAGAAATAACTGTTTGACCATGATTAGTGCTCGAATCACTCTTTCATCTATTGTTCCAACACACAGCTAGTAGGGCTGTGTATCATAAAAAGTATATAACAGCTGAAACAATATCTGATTAAATACGATATTTTACCCCCCCTACCGGGGAGGATATAAACATCTTTAAGTATCAGAAATATAAATTCCCAACTGGCTGGAAATAAAATTGAAAACAATATAAAATCACAACACAATTCATTTTTACTCACCCCCACAAAAAAAATATTGCTGAAGTATCAATAACCAGAATACATTCACCTCAGAATATCAGCTCTGCATCAGTGATCCCCGTTTATAAGTCACACATTGCAGATCAGAATCTGCATAAAGTCAATCCATCCATCATTAAATGAACTAACTCATTTAGGCCTTACAAAAAAACTGAATCTTTAAACAGAACAAAACATTTTCAGTGCAGAATGTAGGATTTCTTATTGGCTGTTACTCTTATTTAACTTTTTTTTTAAACAAAATAATTTTCAGTCTTTTTTTCTGATCAGTTTATATGACACCTGAGTCAACCAGATTAAAAGCATTCAAACAGGAGTGTCCCTCAATCTATTAACCTGCTAAACAATGACTGCTGAAGTAAACAGATGCTGGCATTGTGGAAGTTTAAGGAAGGACTAATGTATTCTGCTTTCTCCACAATTATGTCAGTTATGTCGATCCAACACTTTTCATTATGACATCTGCTATAAACAAGCATTTTTACATATCTGATGTCTGGAGAGCACCTCAAGAACCACAAAAGGGGGCCTCAGCCCCAATTTGGGGATCCACAACTTTACATGGTAAATGATATGTCAGACTTGTTTTGTAAAGAGGAGTGCGAGGTGATCAATATCTTAAAGTTTAAAAATGTGCCACAGTTTGCAGGTAAGCATAGAGGTATGAGGCTTACATTAAAGCAAATGGTAGATTTGACATTAAAAATAAAGCTAATTATATGAGATCTATGATAAAGACCAGATTTAAACCAAATCTGGACATTTATTGCAAATCAAATCTGCTTTAAATCTATAATTTCACAAGTTTATTGAATCAGATCAATCATAGTTGTTTTATGAGCACCATTTTAGTTAATCTGATAGATAAACTGATGTCATGCTTAAAAGCAAATGAAATGTGAGTCTTCAACATTTCTTCTAAGAAACGGACAAATACAATCCAGTTTTTTCTACTTTCTCAAGGAAAACTTATATTTTTGTTTCAAAAAGTTTTATAAGGTGACAGCAGCAAATCACAGCAGTTAAACTTAAAACAGTGTAACTAACGAGGCATAGCCATCTTTTTCAGTTCCAGTTGTTTCACTTAAATCATTGAGCATAAATCAGTGAAAGTGCATTAATGTAAAACAACCTAAAAGAAGGCAGAAAGTGCTCCTCTAAGTTCCTTTAAATCCCTCAACAGGACAAATAGTGACTCCCACCGTCCCCTCACTCTGTCCCGTGGCCCAGCTGTGTAGTGACCAGCATATGGTAGACTCCCTTCTTTGCTAGCAGCTGCTGATGCGTCCCTTGTTCAACCACTACGCCTCTCTGGAAGACGGCAATGCGGTCGGCGTTCCGGATAGTAGACAGACGGTGCGCCACAATGATGCACGTTCTGCCTTTGCTGGCCTGGTCCAGGGCCTCCTGCACCACCTGCAGAGAGACGAGGAAATCATCAACATGCTCCAGTAAAACCAATTTCCATTTATGAACTAAACCAGCAAGACATGGGAAGTACTTTTGCATGCAAAGTTTATTTATTTATTTTTTTAAATAAGTTTTATAGATGGTACACCTGCTTGAATGCTCGCTCCAGCTACAGATCATTTCCTCCAAGTTGATCTCGAGATGATGTCTGTGTGTCTTTCTAAGACACGGGTCATTGAGGTAGACGAGGACTGAAACTTGCAGCATTTCATCAAGCAATAAGCGCTAGCCGTCTTCATATAGGCCACCCAAATACATTTAGTAGGTAATATACAAGACAGTATTATGCACTGCCCCAAGATGCTTTCATCTGTATCAGATCTGTTCTATTAAAGATATTTCTAGCATCAGACAGATAAAGAATGATGCCCTGGCTCTTTCTATGCTGGCAGGCTACTCAGAATAAACGAATGATCTGAAAGTTTCTTGGCCCCATCAGGCCATTAAAAATGGCCTCTCTCAACGAGTCTGGTTCTGCTTCAGGGCTTTCCCCATTAAATATTAGCCGTTCCTGTCCACTGTCGCCACAAGCTTACTCAGAAGTAGTAAAGTGCAACTCTGAGTTAATCAGTTGTGTTTCCTTTGATAAAACACCTTTTGGGAATAACTAATAAAGCCAAAATGAATATTTTCTATTATCCTTTAGGACAAACTGGACTGTGTGCTGATTGACCTGATGCTCGACATTATGGCTGATTCTTTAGACAATACAACTGCTTATGCTCTACTTCTTCTTTACATAGACTAGGATTCGGTAAACCAGTTTTGCCATAAATGTTAGTACCAGGAAATAAAATATTTACCTTACCTTATTACCGACTAGTGTTTCTTAGTAAATCCGTTCCCCGATGCGTTTGTTGTTCATACTTTATTTCCTTTCCTTTCTCATTCTTGTGTCAAACCACTGATATAACTGCTGAATCTGCATTTATTATAGTTATGATATGAGAAATGTACTCTTTAGATAACCAATAGTAGCATATGGAGCCCTTTAAGGTCCCACCCAACTATATATACATATATAATTTTTCCTGAAGTTATTAACATTCTTTATTGGGCTTCATGGCACTGTGTGCCCACCATCCTTTCTAGGAAGTGATTGATTTTGCAGTTGCTTGAAGATCATTTAGTAATCAAAGCTTCGGTGATGGAATAGAAAGACAAACCTTCTCACTCTCTGTGTCCAAAGCAGAGGTAGCCTCATCCAGCAGCAACACTTTAGGGTTGCGGAGGATGGCCCTGGCGATGGCTATTCGCTGCTTCTGACCGCCAGACAGCTGCGTTCCCTTATCGCCCGCCTGAGTGTTGTATTTCTGCTCAAGCAGAGAAGAGGACAGAAAGAGTCAGAAAC